TTAAAACGGTTTAAACTTTTAGAAAACACATCACGAATTTGTGGAGGTTTATTCCTTTTCACTGCGTCTCATATGTTTTTAAATGCAATCTGTGTGATCGGCGCTTCGGCTCTTTATATTAAGCAGTGCATAAATACATGATGCTGTTTTGTCCATAATTGTTTATGCAATTTACGAAATTATATTTGATTTTTATGAGTTAATTTAGACGTAACGCACGTTTTTTATAGAGTTACTTCCTTGCATTGACAATTTAAATGTGCTGTATTATTTTGCTCATTGCGCCCTCCTGTGGCCTCGGGAGACAAGACAAAAGTTTTCTTAAGACCCATTTAATCTGCATATAAAACATTAGAAAATTAGATATTGGTTTAATTTTTATTGTGTGTTTGACTTTTAAAACAAAAATATTTGTTGTTAGTAGGGCTTTTAATAAAGCTCAAATAGTCTTCAGTTTACACATCTGTTAGGCTACATTTACACTTAGAAATCATGATTTCTATTTATTTTCCAGGCAATTCGGTCGGTACCTAAAAAGTATCGAACTCGATACCCAGCCCTAGTTGTTAGTCTCAATAAATTGGGTTAATTTAAAAATACAGTGGTTAAATAAAAAATAAAAAATTCTATTGCTCTGTGTTTTAAAAAAGGTTATAAAAAAAATTTCAATAATTATCGATCCCGAACGATATGAAACATTATATCGTTGATACATTTTTTAGCTATATCGCCCAGCCCTAAAGTCTGCAGCCTTTTAATACTTCTCTGAATACATCTTTCTGCTAGTAAGTGAGCTTCATGCACTGGCTGATTTGCACATGCACAGTCATAATAGTAACATTTTAGTGAAATTTCATGGGCAAAAAAGGTCCATTGTCTATTATCAATAGTGTAGCGATGTATGACGCACATTTCACACAGAAGTCACCTTCAAACGAAGCAGCTTTCTAATCTTCGTTGATCAACTTGAACCGGTTGCAAAATATGGGGATGGGGTCTTTCACCCTCATGTGAAATTCCTGATTGCATGGATTCCCACTGAAATGACAGGATTTCGCCCGCAAAAATTGGCCAAACAAGGGCAAATGTGACTGCACCTTAACCCAAATTTCCATGTGTGAATCAGTCCATGGACGTGGCTGCTTCTAAACATTCTTCATACCAGTCTGGCGATAACATGACAATTCAACTGTTACATTTTGAATATTCTCTCAATTCCATCTTTTGAACATCCATGAAACCAAAATTTCCAAGCTTCAAAATTCCTTGTGCATCAAGCAAGCACATTAGAGCTTCCATTGACCATATTTAATATGCTCTATATATGTATATGTTTGGTGTAATAAACTTTCAATGGAGAGACAGAAATATCTTTCATTAAAAATATCTTCACTTGTTTTTCAAAGTCTTGCTGGTTTGAAACAACATGAAGGTAAATGATGACAATTTATCCTTTAAAGTAGCTGGTTTGCAATGTTGTGGTAATGTACTGACTGAATAGTTTCCCATTTTGAATGTCCTAATGTTTTTGTTTGTTTGTTTTTTCTTATTATTACAAACAGAAGCCTAGAGACATCATATCATGTTTGTCACGATAATGACAGAAGAATTTCTGCATGCTTCTGATGACAGTGCTTGTTCAAAGGCTCACCAGAATAGTCAATCTCAGAGGTGTTGACACCATTAGAGGCTTTAGCCTCTCATCTGAGGAAGCAGTGAGTGTGTGAGGGTCAAAGGGAGAATGCACACGGGAGATGCAAAGCAGAAACGCACCCTCACTACTAGCAGCAGCCTCACACATACTGAGCCAGTTTCATCCAGAAACACACGCACTTAAGTTCAGTGTGTGTCGGCTCAGCAATATGTGTGTGCAATTTGCATTAAGTGAGCATGTGATAAGAAACAGAAGACAACACACTGGAGTCTGATTTGCCACTGTTAACGAGTATGTGAGAAAGCTTTCAAAAACCTCGCTCTTGCCCTTCGTCCTTCCTCCAAGATATGTGGCATAACAGTTCATAGCATTAACCCTTACAACTTCCCCCCTTAACCCCAGCACTCCCTCACTTATCATCTCTCATTCATGTATGCATAAAGAGATCTTCAAAGGCAAATATGAATTATCACATCCCCTCCCTGTACTGCTGCCCACTCACGATCTGCCAGTGGGTTCAATTCTAAGAGAAATGCCCACGTCCGCTGCTGCAGCCCCTCCCCTGCCTACACACACACACACAGCAGGGCTGAAATCGGCTGAAACAAAGGAGATCAGGTGCTGCTGACAGCCACAATCATACCACTTGAGAAAAAGGCACTGATCATGTTTGTATGACGTGCAGGGGGAGGAACAGGGGATTCTGTTATCGCCTGATGAAGACCGCAGCATGGAGAGAACAGGCTGTTCATTTTGGATTAAACACACTAAACAATTCTTGGGGTTCATGCATTGTTACCCATCTTTTTCATGCTTATTGCAGTCTAACAGAACAGTTTGAGCACTTGTCTCGGTTGGCTACATCACCCAGTCATCTAGCGGCTTGGCTTGAAGAAATAACTAATGACAGCTCCTGCAAATAACATTTTTTTTAGTGGATATGATTGATTCCATGATATGATATGTGACCCCTGGTCCACAAAACCAGTCATAAGGGTCAATTTTTCGAAATTGAGATTAATGCATCATCTGAAAGCTGAATAAATAAGATTTCAATTGATGTATGGTTTGTTATGATAGGACAATATTTGGCCGAGATACAACTATTTGAATATCTGGAATCTGAGGGTGCAAAAAAATCTAAATATTGAGAAAATCGCCTTTAAAGTTGTCCAAATGAAGTTCTTAGCAATGCATATTACTAATCAAAAATTAAGTTTTAATATATTTACAGTAGGAAATTTACAAAATACCTTCATGGAACATGATCTTTATTTAATATCCTAATGACTTTTGGCATAAAAGAAAAATCTATAAGTTTGACCCATACAACGTATTTTTGGCTATTGCTTCAAATATACCCTAGC